GGGCGAGCAGGCGCTGGCGAGGCAGGTGCTGGGGGGACGGGTGCTGGCGAGGGGAGCCAGGCGCTGGGGGGGGCGGGCGCAGGGCCGCGGGTGCTGGGTGGGGGGGGACAGACGCTGGTTCTAATGGTGTTTGTGCCGCCAGGTGATTCTCTGCACCAAGGAGGTGTCGGTGGGGGCCCGGAAGAACGCCTTCCTGCTGCTGGTGGAGATGGGAGAGGCCTTCCTCCGCTTTGGCCCCACGCCGCAAGGTAAGGCGTCCCCGCCCCTTCCCTGCTCTGGGCCCTCTGACTTCCGCCCCCATCCATGCCACGGCCTCTCCAGTGCTAAATCCACCAGTCCAGCCACCTAGCTGCTTCCAGCCCCCTCTGCGGGAGGCCCTGCCTGCCCCTCCGTCCCGGCCCCGTGGGGCGCACAGGCCTGTCCTGCACAGCCCCGGTGGCCAGCACGCCTTCCAGTCCCCCGCCCGTGCTGCGGGCTGCAGTGGGGCCTGCCAGGGCCGGGCACCAGGGCCGGCCTGGCGGAGGCCCCCAGCTGAGCCGGGAGGCCTTGGAGCTGCCGCGGGGGGAGGACTGAGCTAACCCGGGGCCGTCCCTTCCCGCACAGGGGCCATGCAGCGGTTCCTGCTCCTGGTCTACGCGGGGCTGACGGGCTCGGTCACCATGATCAGCTGCACCTTGCTGGCGCTGACCCGCCTCCTCTTCCAGTTCAAAGGTGAGGGGCTCGGTGGGGGGGGGCTGGAACCCCAGCTGCTCCCCTCGACGCAGGGCTGAGCAAGGGGTGTCTGACCCCCTGCGGCTGGGGCAGCCCCCGGGCACCTCCACTGGTGCTCGCAGCCGGGCCCGGGGGTGGGAAGGGCCCTAGCAGCTGCCATGGGGAGCACAGTCAGTGCCTACTGCTAGGGGCGCTGAGGCCAGTCAGAAGGCGGGGCTCGAGGGAAGGCCCCGCCCCATGGCTAAGGGGGCTGCGGCTGAGCCCAGGTGGTGATGGGCGAGCGTGTCCTGAGCCAGACTCTCTCCAGCTTTCTCCCCCAGCTCCACCCCCAGCCTGGGGGGTCGGGGGGGACCCCGCTGCCCGGCCTGAGCCCTGTGCCTCTTGCAGATCACATGGGGCTGGCGGTGGCGGAGCAGTTGCTGCAGAACGTCTGCCTGCTGCTGGGCTCGCGCACGCGGGACGTGGTCAAGGCGGCCCTGGGCTTCCTCAAGGTGGCGCTGCTGCTGGTGGACGCCCAGCTACTGGCCAAGCACGTCCAGACGATGGTGAGTGGGGGGGGGGGGGCGAGCCTGGCCGGGGGGCCTCCAGAGAGGGGGCTGCTGCATGATGGTGCAGGGATGGGGAGGCCTGGCTGGGGGGGTGCTGAGCAACGTCTGAGGGGTGGGGCCCATGGGCAGGGGGAGATGGTGCAAGAGTGATGCGTATCGTGGCGGGGGAACACGCATGCTGTCCCTGGAGATCACAGCGGGGCCCGCACACTCTCTTGAGGGGATGGGGGGGGG